TCTGAAATAAATCATTTAAATAAACTGAGACCTTCTAGTAGCAGACGGAATTAAACTGCTGTGCCTGGAAACCCCAGACAACCCAGTAATCTCCAAACACTTTTTATAGCTTGCAATTCACCAAATGCCAATTGTGGAAACCTCCTTCCTGTCTGTCACTCGGGTTGCTAACACTGGCATTGTTTTATGGACTCCTACTCCTTTGCAGTTGATAGTTTTTTCCCTCAGGAGAGGGGAAAACCCTCCAAAAGTTTCATGGGTGAAGCACATCATGCTTTCAGGAAGCCCAGGGAACAATCCTGCCTTGCGTGAAATAACACATTTATTTTGTGAGTTTGCCAATCCCCAAAATCCCAGTGGACATCACTATCCAAATGTTAGGAGTTTTGTATAGGCTTTGTGTGTTTGGTCTGTCAGCTTGGCTGTACAACAGCTTTGTTACATGATAAGAATTCTGCCCCATGCCGTATACATCAAGGTTTTTGCTCCTGATAGTATTAGTTTGTTTAGCTATGAATTTCCACATGCTGTCTTGGGCTGTTATTGCCCAGCTTGTGATTCCGTTTTTACAAAATTGTGTTTATCTGGCTGCCTGACAGGAATATAGTCAGAGCAGTAAGCTGAATAACATTTTGTTCATTTGGTACTAGCCCGAAGGCAGAAACAGCCCTCATCCTCTCCTATCTCTCATGTGCTGCTGTTTCTGTCAGCTTGTGGATTTTGTGGTGAGGTGTCCTATTGCCCCTTAGCAAAGCTTTCCCTGGGAAATCCTCATTTCTTTACACTACTTATTTCTCCAGCAGGGTCTGTGAAGACATGAACGTGTTAGCCCCTGAAATAGATGCCACAAATCAGTCTAGCATGCCTTCTAATTTTAATGGAGATGAGCTACTAGTTGTAATTTCTTGCATCTCTCAGTTAGGATGTAGGGAGACCATAAATCTTAAAGCAACAAACATCCCCAAATCCTACTCTTTGAAGTGAATAGGAGCTCCTGGGTCACCAGCACTTTTGGGAAACAGGCCGCTTAACTAGGTGTCTGAAGCCATTATTCTCCACACACCACATCCCCCCCCCCCCCCTTTTTATTAAAGCCTTGGTCACCATGTTTAAGGAAACCTGCAACAAAAAGGTTTGTGCAGTGTGAGCAGTGTTTTCCCTGAGCAGCCTCAGATAAAACCAGTGGATACTGTAGTATCCAAACTCAGCACTTCTGTGCCAAGCCAGGTGTTTGGTTGTGAGATTTACTGTGTTTGTTATTGTCATTAGATTTGGGTGGCTGGGAGGGATTTGGGGGTTCTGTTTGTTTCCAACTTTATTATTAAAAAAAACACAACAAGAAAACCTAACCCAACTGTGAGGGTTTTGGTTTTTGGATGGTTGATTTTGGGTTTTTTAAGCTTCGTTTCTTCCATCAGGACTTTTCATTCCCCATCTTATATTTTCCCCTTTCAAAACTTACTCTTACTTGGGTATGGGATGTAATATTGTAAGCAGTTACTGTAAACATCTGCTAAAACATGTTTAGAATCATAGAATAATATGGAATCATAGAATGCTTCTTTACAGTGTATAACTGACAGTCTGCAATATATTATTAGGTTCTTACTCTTGCTTCCTCATTTTTGTCTTTAACTGAAAATTCAGTTTGACTCCATGGTTCCCGTGATGAACAGTGAGTTAATAACAGTCTGTGTTGTTACTTGAATCTTTTTTTACTTTAGAGAACTAGTACAGTTTTCCCAGTACACAAACTATGTAAGCAATACACTGAATCATAGATGAAAAAAAAAATAAAATAGGCCAATTCCTGTTAAATCCTTGTAATCCCATTAGGGAGGAAGGGGTAGATACATAAAGGTAGAACCGTGCCTTACCATCTATTAATGAACCATATAATGGCACAAGTGTTTATATTTTACCTCAGGGTAAACCCTTGAGCCTTCATTGGGTGGTTCTTGAGGACTGATGCAGCGTGGCTTGTTGGAGTAACAGCCTGCACAGTGTGGGGCTCGTGTTTTGGTGGCACAGCTGTGCTTCCAACACAGCATCTAGTAATCTCATTGTGGGCAGGTGCTCCTAACTTTTCATCGGGGATTATTGTGTCTGCATCGTGTTGCATTGAGTCTTTAGGGGGTTCACAGGCTTCTGAGCAGTGCAGAGAAAGAGGTAAGAGATAATGTACCCTAGTAGAGGAGGCAAGGATCACTCCCTGGGCTGAGAAGTAGTGCTTTGCTATTCCTTGTAAATCTGCAGCATTGTATTAGCGTGTAGGGTTCTTGGCAAGTTGTAACAGAATGGCCAGCTATCAGAGTTCCCCCTTTGTAACAACACAATGTGGACTTTCACTAGGTGGTGATATTTTTCATGTTTTCTGGTGGTTACTGTCCTGTCCAGAGTCCCCTGGGTGATGATATTTGTGTCCTGGAGAATGACTCTGGGTTGGCTTCACTGGCAAAAGGCTCTGCCAGCTTGAATCCCAGTAAAGCACAGCCTTCATGCTGTGACCTGGCAGAGGCAGCAGGTATACCTGCAAAAGTTTATTGGCACATCTTAAAGGTGCCATTTTGCCAATACAAAGACTGTGGCTTCCAATTCTGTTTTTATACCTTAGTCTTAACAGTGCTGTATAAGATGGCAGGTATGTATGCCCCGAATTTCCATATTCTATTCCTACCACAGATGCTGGATCACCAGTGTGTAATAAGTATCTTCCTTTTTCACCTGCCACTTACTTGTCAGAACCTTGCCATTTACTGTACTTCTACCCTTGTTAACATGGTTTTGTGCAGGTGGCTCCTCTGTTGCTCACAGCTGCCACGGGCTCTTCTTTGATTAACACATTAGCAAAGCCATCCTGTCTCACTGTTCCTGCTCCAGCAAAGCCCACCCATGGTGCCTGAAGTATTTTTCTGCACTACCAGTGTAGTCAAACCCCAAATCAAAGAGTTTGGAAGCTTGCTTCTGAAAACTAAAACTGAGTGTATTTCTTGCAATGTTACAGGCCACTTGGGAACATCTTGTGCTTATTCTGAAAGCAGGTTGGGTCAAGCGTTTGGGTTTCAGGATTGATTTTTTTCTTTTATCTGTTTTTGGTTGGGGTATATTTTTGGGGTATTTTTAGTTGTGTTTTTTTTTTTGTGTGTGTGTGGTATTCTTACGATACTTTGCAGCATTTTATGCAACACATACACATAAACATGGTGGAAAATGTATGAGCCTTCAGTGTCTCTTTCATGCTATGTTTTATTGACTAGGAGTGTTTTAAACATGTGATTACATGGTTACTAAAAGATCAGAAGTAATATTCTCTCCCACCCTGCCCCCTCTCCTTTGTTGCTTTGAGTGTAGTTACAAATGGTAGAACATGATTTAAAATACCTTCAGAAATGAAGAAATGCTAACATTATAAGTTCTGACATTTTTAGATATAAATTTTTAATTCTGTAACATTCTTATGTTAAACTTATAATAATATTAGTTTATTAGGAAAATTAAACTTAAATTCAAAATATCTACCTTGATTATTATGGCAAATAAAAAAAGAAAACAACTCAGTCAATTACATTAATTTGAAGACAAGGTTCTTCTAAGAATTTATAATCTTTTCATAGGCATCAACTGACCTTTGTTTTTAAGCCTATATACATACCTTTTTCAAAACTAAGCTTTTGCTTTGAAATTTTAGGTGAATTGTTGTAACACCAAATATGTTGCATTCAGCCATTGCTTCAGTGGATTCAGTTTTTCCTATATTCTTTTTAACAGGTTCCATGTATTAGAATTTGAACTGAGCCCATAAAGGTTGACAAGAATGGTTGGCAAGCCATTGAGAAAAACCTGTCTTGACTTTGCTCATGTAGGTTGGCTTCATAAGGTTAAGGATGCTGTTAGGCAGAGGGTAATAAAGACTGTACTGGTTTCAAAAGATAGTGCTTGAACCAGGAAGACAAGATGGTTTTGGAACATTCTCTGAATGACACCCAAGGTGATGGAGGACATCTGCCCAAGTGCTGCAGGCACGCATGCTCTTCATATCTCATTGTCTGCAGTACAGAATGCAACCAGTAGTGCATTTCTATTTTGAATGTGATGCCAGCACGTATATATATCTACTATTGTATTGTTAATTGAGCTCTGGTTTATGCCTTGCCCGTTTTCTGAAGGCTTGTACCTATTTTGTTGGTCCTCTAGAGTTGTCCTCCTCCCTCTGCAAGAGAATCCAATGCCTGAAGCTCTGGACCTTCATATTTGCTTTCTATACAGCAGGTGGTCCTGTGAGCAGATGAGATTTGAAAAATAATAACTTCAAGTAAACTGTGGTGCTATGACGGCTGCAGTCATGTTTGTGAGAAACAGCCCCTTTGGAGCAGTGCAGGGTGTCTCATTTCAGAATACGCTTGATTATTTTTATGAGTTATTTGAAGTTGCTTGCATAGATAAAAGGGCATTTTGAATCACTTGCGGTGCAGTCATATGGCATCTTTGGGTCGCACTTTGCTTCTGCTCTTTTTGCCGTCTTAGGAAGAAGGTCAAGTGAAGAGATGAAACTCACAGTGTAGAAATGGTGGGGAAGTGGAGGGGAATCCCGTAATAGCCAACATTCAAATTAATGAACTGCTTTATCATTTCAGAACTATCTATACTCATTTATTGGCTTTTGCATTAAAAATAGAAAGGCTGCCAAACTTTCTTCAAGCTAACAAGTAAGAGTAACTGATGATGGACAACTGTCCATTCTTTTGTTGGCTGCTGAAATCAAGTGGAGCAAATATTGCTAGTACAGCCTTGAGCTGACAGAATTAGATTTAAAGCTGATAACCTCCCCAGGATAGGAGAAGGTATTTGACACAGTTTGACTACTGGCTGGTTACATACATGCTGGCCAATTGACCAGGCTGAAAATATGAATATATATTGGGAAAAAATAAAAGAAGTTGTAAAATGTTTAATTTATTAAGATCTTTTTTAAATGACAACAACAACAAAAAATCCTTCTTATGAGTTTTTTTAAATTGCATTAGCCAACAGTTGATACAAGGGATGTGTTTGTGTGTTAACAGGCTAAGAACAATCACTGTTTTCCAGGATTTTTATTTCAAATCCAAATAGAAATCACTTGTGGTTTAGTTTTATTTAATTCCATTCTTAAGCAAAAGACTTTTTTTTTAGTGGCTGATGATGAAAGCAAAGTTATTCGTTGTTCTAATCTATTTTTGGTTTTTAAGAAATATGAAAAAGGAAGTTGAAATGGTAAAAAGCAAAGTTTTTTGAGTGGAGAAGATGTATGGAAGACTTGTTTGAATGTGTGATTAAATTAGTTCCTAAAATGCTACTAGATGTAATTTCTGGATTATTATTTTAAAGGTAACTATGATCTAGGATATATGCATGGTTGAGATTATTCTTACCTACTCCTTGTTATTTCTCTTTTTATTGCTTTTCTAAATTTCGCAAGTGTCATTTAAAAAAGTAGAGGATTTAACTTTGATATATCTCTGAAGTTTACAGCTAGGTAGGATCTCTTTCTACATTTTCCATGAGATGCAGCATGTTATTTAAATACGTGCTGCCAATTTCTGTGCTCCATGATTTTGATACCAGGATTGTTTTCTTTACCTAGTAATTTAAGGAGGTTTGCAACTGAGTGTCCTTATTTTGCATATAAGATTACTGATGAAGAGCAAAAGCCGCTCCTAGTTACTGAAAAGGGTTGTCTCCTACCTTGATCTTCTGAAGCTTACTTTAACTGCGAAACACTCCAACAAAACACCAGGCTAACTTTGCCAGATGTTTTTGTCTGAAATTGTGATTAAAAATGCATAGTCAGATTCCCTCCTTGTATGAGAGGGAAATGAATCTTCTGCTTAAGACGGCTAGTATATCTAGTGGCACATATTGGGTTGTCTCTACAGGTCTCTGTTAGAGTTGTAGGCTTATTAGCATCCTATTAATATGTGCATAAAATGTAGTCTGTGTCTGAGCCCAAATACACAAGCTGGGAAATCAAAGAGAAATCCTTCACACCTTTTGCTGGCTTCATCCTGAACTTTTATTTAGCTTAAAACAACTTCCTTAAGATAATTTCCTCTTCTAAAGGAAACACTTTTCTCCATACTTAAGAGGGGAACACTGCACTGAATTATTTTTTGTAGCAACTCTGTCACCATTGAGAGGGAATTGCTTTTATCATGACATACGAATCTGAATTTTGACTTGTGTAAAATATTAGTTCCGAAACTATTGAACCATCTGTTGTTTTTTTTCTCTGTAGGTAAAGGTAAGGGAAATGTGGAGTGGAGATTATGTTCACTTGTATTTTATCAAATCTTTATAATGAAAGGACTGTAAAGGCTTCACTGTTACAATTTTTGTTTTCTTTATATGTATAACAGTAGCATACTTGTTTCTGAATACTTTAGTGCTGTATATATACAACAGAATTACTTCTAAAACTCGAGTTGATTTAATACTAATTTAGGTAATGCAGTGGAAACACCTTGTATTTAACATTTGGTGCAGTTTAACATTACTTCTGTTTAGCTTATGTTAGTAAGCAGTTGATTTAGGCTGAATTAGTATGTCACTATTGAGCTAAGAGGTTTGTATCAGTTTAAAATTCAGTGTTGAAGTTTTTTCTAAACCAGTGCTGCCTGGTGCTCAGACAGAAACTGTTCTAGTTGTAAAGTCTTGCAGACTGTAGTCTGATGCTAGTTAAGCACTGTCCTTTTCCCAGGAAGATGGAGAAACACCCTGTTATTTTGTTAGGCAGAAAAGGAAAAACACTTCCCAAGTACAGTAGTGACTCCTTTATATTCACACTGCATTTTGGAAATGTGGTAAGTAGTTTTTTGTCAGCTTATACATGTCTCATAATACTTTTCCTTGCACTAGTAGCCAAACTATCACCTGACTATTACTATTTTTTAACCTCTTATGTTATGGGAATCCAGTGTCAACTGGCTGTGGGAAAGTGCATTTCCTAGCTATACTTGGTCCAAGCTGGTTGGAAAAGTTATGCTTGACAGCCTGGCCTGGTCTCCAGAATCATTTGAATGAGTTGTCGGGAACTGTGGTACCCTGTGCACAGGGGAAGGATGCAGAGCACAAGGCGTAACTGTTGCCAGAATAGGAATCATATCTGGGGTGGCACTGGTTTAAAGCAAGGTGAGAGTTGCCAGTGGGGAGGGGATAGGATACATCCTTGCATATGTTGTTTTATCTGGTGCCTAGCAAAGTCTTAAGTGTGACTCAGGCACTGTTAGGAATTGTTTAAAAAAGCTAGGGAATTCTGTTAAATCTTAAGCGTTGAGGAAAACTTCAATTGGCAATGGAAACTGAAGTGTGTGCTTTTAAACTAAGACCAGCTATTTATATCCTTTAAATCTAATTTAACATTTCAGAAACATGTTCGAATAGCTTTGTTGCTCAAAAAGCAAAAAAATATATACTTTTACATGTCATTCTTCAAAATATCTTTTTAAGAAACATGTTCACTCTTCATTTTCCCGTCTTGCAGTCACCAGTGAAAGCGTCCCCTGACTCGCCTGCAGCCTGATGCCTGCTGGTAACCCTGATACAGAACCATCATGAGCAGCCTCCAGGCAAGGGGTTCCCACACTTGTGTGCCAATGGATCTGGGAGCCTGTGTGGAAAAGTCACCCTATCCAGTTACTAAGTTACCTTTCAGATTTGTAAAAGCATGCTAATGCTCCTTTTTACAGGAGCACCTCACACATTATTTCTCTGGGCTTCCACATCGCTGTTTCCCACTGTATATTAATGTCAAATACATGGATGATTTGAGAACACAGGTTGCTTCTGCCTGGGCCTGCACACACAAAATGGTTGGCATTTTGTGGCTTTGTCAGTTGTGTCATGGGAACCTCGAGGTCTAAAAAGAAACATCAGCTCAAATTTTCTTCTCTTCCAGTCTCTTAAGCTTGTTTAAAGTGAGTATTTTACATAATGAGCTGTATACATAGATACAATGCCAGTAAGATTAACATGGAAATAAAATAAAATTAAATTAGATTAAAAAAAAAAAACAAACATTTTTTTTCTGCCCAAAATCTATCTGTGGAGGATACCACGTTTGTAGGAATGAATAGGTCGGCTCAGCTTTCTTGTTGTAAAGGGCCTGTACATGTCTAATTGCACTCATGTTCATTGGCTGTTATGTCTGCCTGGACATGGGTGGCCATGGAGTGGTTTGAGTATAGAGCAGGAAAACAGCAGTAGTCATGAAAGTAAGTGTGTTTAAATAAGTGACTGTGATTGCTTTAAATCAACTTCATCCTTACCATTTTAAACTGAAAATACTTGAGATACATTAAGTCAGTAATATCTTTGTGGTGAAAGTCTTTAGAATTAATTAGTTCAGACCTGCAACACACTTTGCAGTGAGCCTCCAGTTGTCCCACCTTGGTACTTGGCAGCTCACATCATTGGAGTGGAGTTGAGGTCAGATGGATGGATGGAGCATGTGCTTCACCTCATGCATGCCAGATGCTAGTGAGTGTTTTGGGCCATAGATCCAGATTAGAGGTAGCCCAAAGTAAAAATCCCTGACTGGATGTTGGGTCCTCAGTGCTGACTTTCCTTCTGCAGATTCAGCTTCCACTGTGCTGTGCAAATACAAACGTGGCCGGAGATGTGCACCCAGAATCTGTTCATTACACTGCTTTTAAAGTGTCTGCACTGCAACTTAGGAGGTGTGAAACTCTTGGTCCTGTTGGGTCATTTGTACTGATGAAGTCTGTATAACTATATAAGGACTTAAAATCTTTAGCTTGGGTAAAGATGTAATGTGTCTGTATCAATGCTCATGTATCAATGTAATGCATTGATACATGAGCAAATAACCACTCATTTTTAATCTTGAGTTATTTATTTTCAGCAAATAAAATAACCTACAAACTATAGGCCTGGTTGTACCAGTCTGCAGTGTTAAAAAAGTCTGTAGGAGCAAAGGATGGTAATTTTTGAGTTTTTCCTCAGGCACTTTCTTCAGAAGGAAATAGTTTGGAGAATATTGAGGAGGAAGGGGAAAAACTGACTGCCTGGGAAACTGAGAACAAGGTTCTTCTCTAGCAGAGAACCTGCCAATGTCTATTTTTCTGTTGGATGTAGTGGGCATTGCAAGAAGCACCTGCTTTCCCCACACAGAGTAAGTCTGCAGGGAAGCAAGGCTTTTAAATGTGCTTTAATGCTTCAAGTTTACTACCTTTCTGAACCTAAATCTCATAGCTGCTTTGCGTAGGAATGTATATATGTGATATATAAAAGAAGCAAGTAGGCGTATACAGCATAGATGCTGTCTTGCTGTGCTTGTTGCCTGCAAATGCCTAGGCTTTGACAGTCTGTGAGCTAGTGTCATTGGAAACTGGGGCTATAAAACTCTAGTGTGACCTGTTGATCTCAGTGGTGTCTCCTGGTGCTTATGCTTTACGGTCCTTTCACATCTTTCTATTCTTCCCGTGCTTGCATTGCTGGAATGCATCATCAGACTCAGGGATAAGGCAGGTGAAATGGTTGTAAACTAACAAGAAAATTAACGCTGTTGCTCCTCTCCTCAAGAGTTTTAGATTTCCGTATTATTTGCATGACAGGTTTATAGCTATATTTAAAAGAGCACAAAACGTGAAATACTGCATGCAGGCCAGTATTTCAGTTGTGACCATGGCAGTTACTAACACCCAAATATCAGTATAGTGCAGGTAGGTATCTGTGAATCTTTCAAACAGCCACAACAATGAAGTGAAAGGCAAATCTCATATCCACATTTTGCTTGCTTTGTGGGACCCGGCTCTGAGTTCTAGAATTTAATAGCCACTTTCAATCAGGCGCTCAACCACATTTTTATGCTTTCTCCCCTCCATTTTGTCAATAACTGACATGAGAAAGGAAGATGCTAAGGCTAAGACATCAGGAAATTAACAGAAAAAAACACTAAACGCACTGTCTGCCCCTTTATCAACCTATTGTTTGAGTTTAGTTCATTCAGGGATTGTGCAACAGCACATTTTCTTTCCCACGCAGGGAGAAAATGAGCACTTGGTGACAGAAGATTATGTATGTTACCAGCACAAGCCTGAATTTTTCAATTCCTTTGACAGCTAGACTTGCAAAAAATGCCAGGTGTGAATCTCATCAAAGTATTAAACATCATTTCCTATTTGAAGTAAATATTGGTGGTTTAAATCAACTTGTAAGCTGTGCCCATTAGGTTTGAGCATTTTTTTATTCTGAGTTGTTTTTTTTGTGTGTGGACTTTCCTACATTTATAAGTCAATACTAGTATATTCTTAGCTAGCATGGAGAAAAAGAAACTGCTGTCTGGTTTAGTACTGCAAGAGGTACTACTGGCAGTTATTACTAACAAAAACTGTTCTTATTCTTTGTGTGAATATAATGCTAAATCTAAACAGAAATCTTGATGAAGAACAACAGATGTGGAAAACTATTGTCTGTAATTGACACTGAGGTGTTGGATGAATCAGAGCAGTCAAACAAAGCAGAGAAGTTCCTCTTCTGGGTTTGTGCCTCAGGATGGCTCTTATGGCTTCATCTCTGGGGTGATGCTGTGTTCCTGCCTTTCCCCTTCAGCCAGCACTGACAGATCTGTCCTTTACTTGGTAACATGCTCCCACAGAATGTTGAAGATTTTTATATATTTTTATACATATGTCATATTTAAATGAAATCAACTAATAGGTTTGCAACATATAATTTCTGAACATTCAGAATGCGAACCTCATTTGCTTGGGAAAGCAGAATAATGTGAACCTTATTTCTTCAGGAAAACAAAACCCCCCCAAACACTTTGACTATTATAGATACAGTGATCTGCAGCTTGGATGATGGAGACTGTAAGATTATTTTTTTTTTTTTGGTGGGAAATTTAAAGTTTTAATTTCTTTGTAAGACCAAATATAATGCAAATTTTTGACAAGTGTGTGAGTCTGCATAATCCTCCCTAATCTTGTAGCATGGGATTTCTCTTAACATTAGCTGCTAAAAGTTAATTATCTCTCCTAAGCTAGTGATCTGAGATGTCCCCTTCCCCCATGGCCGATAACAGTGCCAGGGTGATTCATCTCACCTGTTTTACTCACCTATCCTAGAATGGGATAATGGCAATCTGAAGGCACTTATCTCTCTTGCTTGACTGGAGAAGGAGCCTAGATGACTGGCTTCAACGAGCCACCTGATTTGTAGATGGCTATAGACCAGGGAAACTACCTCTTTTGATCTCAGTGTATGAGCTGCAGTTTTCAAAGATGTTTCTTAATGCTGAAGGGATTGCTTATATATATATACATGTATATACACACACATATATTTGTTGTACAAATAATAACACTCTTCTTATTAGTTGGTGTTTTGTGCATTGATTGCTAGATACTTCCTATGATGTGAGCACCAACTAGGTGAGCAGTAGGTGCACATAAGGACTGTGGGGTTTTTCTGAATTATCTTTCTTAATTCTAGCTCTGGGACTGAGAAGGACACTTCTATACAGGTGTACAGGTACACCTGTGTGGAAGTATTGAGATGCATGTCAGGAAGCTTAAGACATACAGCTGGTTATTCTTTGAAACTCATTGAAAAGGTGTCCCGGGAACTCTGTTGTAGAGTTTACCCCTGTGTCATGAATGATTTTCAGTGCAGGTTATGTGTGCTGTTGTATGCAAAGGCTGCACGTGAACAGCTCTGGCAGGCTGCTGCGGGAGCAGAAGTTGGGAGCTTTGGTATGAACTGTTGGTGGAGACAGTGTAGGGAGCTAGGGGATGGGTACCTGGGCACACCTTTGCCAGCTGCCAGCAGGGATTTAACATAAATTGCTATTGGAAACTAACTCACTAATCTGCTGATGTTTGCTTTGAGTTTTTTGCAATGGCAAGAATGGGAAAAAAATGAAAGGAATTATTAAAGATGAAGGAAAATTAAAGAGAGTCATGGAGTGCTCTGAATTAGCACTGTCATGGTCTTCTTTCTTTGATTTCTTGTAATGCCAAAAGTATCAAGAAGTGACCAATCTCCAGCTGATGATGTTTTCTTTAACTTTCATCTAGCAGCAATGACAGAAGCAGGAATGGCACATGAGAGCACCTCAGCTGTGGGATGCTGCTAAAACAAAGTTAATTTAGTGGAGCCAAGTGGATTGTTCCACCCATATTGTGTTATATCATGACACACACTACAAAGAGCCCTCAGTTCTCTATGCTGGATTCTGATTTTCCTTTGGTTTTCGCAGTGATATAATGCTGTGAATGTACTTCCTCATTTTGGTGAAACAGCTGCAAACTGGCAAAAACTCGGTTTGGGAGATTCCAACCTGCTTTTTCTATCTCAAGATGCAAAAGTAAGAAGCTCATGTTGTGTCGCATTTCACAGAACTCTGTTCTTCCTGAGGGAAGATGTGAGGCACATCTTGTGAGTGACTTTAAAAGGCTTGGGTAATTTATTGAGATTCTTTGGATAGCAGGTACATAATATCTTATACTTGATGTAAGGATCTCAAAATTGCATATATTTAGTGCAATATTTTTTTGGCTGAAGCAGAATACATTTTTTGTGTCATTCTTTATTAATTGTTTAAGGCCTTGGCTTAATTTTTCACTTTTCACTTAGTTCTACCAAAAAAGTTGTGCCTTAAAAAAGTAATGCCCTTGTTGCAAAATCTAAGAATTCACAAATATTTTCTCCATAAGCCCGTTTTCCTGACCTCAGCCATTGTGTTGTGCTTTCTCCTCCAAAAGAGAGGTTGAAAAGGAGAGCTAGACAAAGAGGAAAGGGATCACAGTATCTCAATTTTATTTTCTTTCCTGAAAAGTATTCTCTTTGGACAGACAGTAATTGTGGTTTCTAATGACACAAACTTGAAGGGAAACAGAAGATGACTACAAACAGGTTTATGGGCCTATCAGCAGGAATATGTGGCTACAAATTGCTGAGTAAATGAAACAGCCTGTTGTTTCCTAAGCCTGAGTTTGTGAGTGTTATGCCAAAGTATTTGAGGAGGAGCTA